GTGTGTGTGTGTGTGTGTGTGTGTGTGTGTGTGTGTTATTAAAGTAAAAAGGAGAGCGTGACAGAGAAGAAAGATATCTTAAGATTGTAACGGAGTTAGGACGTGATGAAAGAGAGGATAACAGAATCCATGTAGCATGGAAGCAGAGGAGGGTATTCGGAAGAAGAAGTGAACCTATAAGAGAGAATATGAGCCCCTGCTCCCTCTCTTCAACTGAACTTCAGGAGCTCAGTCCAGTGCTTAGCTGTCGGTCACTGCATCTGCTTCCATCAGTTACTGGATGTAGGTTCTATGATGACAATTAGGGTAGTCATTAATCTGATTAAAGGGGAAGGCCCTTGCAGACACCCTTTCCACTATTGCTAGGAATCTTAGCTGGGATCATCCTTGTGGGGACTCTTGGGAATTTCTCTAAACCAGGTTTCTCCATAATCCCATAATGGCTCCCTATCAACATAATTCTTTTATTGCTCTTCCCCTCCATCCCTCTCCTTCTAACTAGGCCTCCTCCTCCTCCTCCTTCTCCTTTTTTATTGTTATTTTATTTTATTTTGGTTTTTCAAGACAGGTTTTCTTTGTAGTTTTGGAGCTTGGAGCCTGTCCTGGAACCAGCTCTTGTAGACCAGCTTGGTCTCAAACTCACAGAGATCTGCCTGCCTCTGCCTGCTTCTGCCTGCCGAGTGCTGGGATTAAAGGGATTAATGGTTTGTGCCTCCACTGCCAGCCTAACTCGGCCTGGCCTTCTTAATCTCTCCTGTTCCCATTCTCCATCTCCACACTTCTACACCCCCCCCCCCACACACACACCAAGTTTACCAAGGAGATCTTAATTAACTATTTTCGTTCCTGGGGCCCTCCAAGTGTGTCCGGAGGAATCATATAAACGGGGGGCGTAAAGAGCATGATGGAGAAACCAGAAACAGCTGACTCGAGCTAGTGGGAGCTCATGGACTATGGACTGACAGCTGGGGAACCTGCATAGGACTGAACTCTCTAATGTGGGTGACAGTTAGGCGGCTTGATTTGTTGGGGGTGCGGGGGACTGGCAGTGGCAGAAGAACCTATGCCAGGTGCAAGAACTGGCTTTTTGCAATCCATTTCCTATGGTGGGATACCAGACTTTGTTGATTCTGCCAGGAAGGCCTTATCCCCTCTGAGGAGTAGGTAGGGGGTGGGAAGGGGGGATGGGGGAATGAGAGAAAGGGAGAGAAGGGAAACTGGGGTTAGCATACAAAAATGAAAAAAAAATTTTAATAAAAATATGAAAATAGAGAAAGTAGAAGGTTGGGTGCAGTAGAGGAAGGAAATGAATTAGACTAAACTGTAATATGTATACATACATATATATGTATGTATACATATTACATGTATGCTTATAACATATACACATATATGTATGAAAATGCTGTAAAAATCCTTTCCTTTGTATACTATATTCAAAAAGTAATTAAAAATTAACAAATACCATTTAAAAGTTTAGTCTTTCATTTTAACTCAAATAGAACAGTTTTAGTAATAATATATTCCATGTTTCAGATAAATTACGGTTCATGTAAGACAAATCATGGTTCCTGACAATTTTAAATGTACATAGGATAGAAACCGTGTCAAACACCATACAAAGACATTTGCTTTCCTGTAAGTACTTCCATAAAGCATCCCAGTTATGCTCTAACTATTTGGTCTTACACACATTGCTGTTAATAAATGTGTGTTAAACAGATCTCTGTATGCAAGACTAAGGAACATTTTTTTAATTTTTATGTATTTACAAAATAATAAGAGTGCAAACGGAGAGTGCGGACTATTCTGACAGAGTCTACAATTGTGCCGCCCTATCCAGAGCACTGCATCTTGGTCTGTAGGACATTCACCTAAATCGTCAGGTGAATCGTTTACTCAACAGAGAAACACTGACTTCTAAAGTTAGGATGCAGCCCCGTTCAGAGATGCTATTAACTTCAACTTTTACCAATCCTTGAAGAATAATTTATGTATATAATATAACTATTAAAAATAGAGAAAGAAAATTCAATGGAGTATCTCAAATACTAGGAACAAACTATGTTGATACTAAATCAAATACTTGACTCTCCAGGGCCTCTTGACCAGATTAGAAGTAGCTCAATAGTTTTTCTCAAATGCAAATATTTGTTTGGTTAAATAATATTAACAGGGAACATTACATATTTCCAGTAGTATAAGGAAAAAAGACATCTCATTTCCTCAGAAGACTTAGCATCAAGCCTGGAGGACAGAAATAAACAAAAAGTATTTGTGTGAGAATTCCTCCTGTCACTGCCCCAAGTTTGTATTTAATTCAATTTACAATATTTCTATAAATGGCATATATGTTGATAGTATGTAAGTTACCATCTCTGATGATAAAGCCAGATACTTACTGATAACAGCCCCATGCTTCTGAGGGAGGTTCAAACCCTGCCAGGATGGACTGCTCCTCTTAAGGAGAATAAACCCACCATCACCTTAAAACTCCATGGAGGATGATGTGGCACCAAGAGCCCCCTGGTTTCTAGGCAACAATCCCTTATGACTGCTCCAAAGGGACTGCTAGGCAACAGCACTGGCTGTGTTTGCCCCAACTGTTTCCAAGAGAGCTCACTCCCAGCTCAGCGGCTGTCGAGAGGGCCAGGTTCACAAGAGACTAGGGGCACCTGATTCTGTGACTAGTTACATAACATATACACATATTTCAAAAAAATTTCTCCGCTGTCGCTAAAGAAAAAATCAGGGCAGAGTTAGTTTCCAGCCTGAAGGGTACTTTGAATGTATCCTTAATTTAATTTCTGCCCTTGGAGAGTTACAGATTCCGTCAGAAAAACTAAAACAACTGAAGCAAACTCTGTAACAAAAGGCTAAGTACTCAAATAAATTATAAATGAGCCAACCTTTATTAAGTCACATTTAAAGTACGACTACCTAAGCTCTGTTTCAAAGAGCTTAGCCATCTGCCTACTTTCTGTCCATAGAAAAGTGGGGCAAATAGAAGAACTAAACCGCAATCCTCGTGGTAAACTATGCCTAACTTATTTGAAGCTGGACACGAGGACACCCTGCTGTAATTCCAATACTTGAGTGGCTGAAAAGGAGATATTGTATGAGACTAGCTGTGGCCACACAGTAAAACCCCTATGTCAGGAAAGAAAAAGAAAGTAAGGGGAGAGAGGATAAAGAGAAAAAGGGGAGAAAATTTTTGCAAAATATTTAAGTGCACAACTCCAGTACAGCATAGCAAATTCTAGGCAAAACTTTCACTTTTATGTAAAACCAACATTTAGATGGTCTGTCACAAATTCTCTAAAACTAAAACACTTAGTCATATTTTTCCAGATATCGCTCACCTTGAAGGCAACAACTAGTGAATTAATCTGAGAACTGTCTCCATCCTATCATGAGTTTTCCCTGTCTTCATTCCCTTTAATGTCCCCCAAACTCATCTGTATAGGAGGAGGAGAACACGCAGAGGGGCATGGACCCTTAGCCATTTCACCATAGCACAAAGGAAATTGAACTACCCCTCTGAGTCAAAGCCTTCAATAAAAGCCAAGCATGTAGAGCATAATACACAAGATACGTCTGAATCTATTTCCTGCCCAACTTCAAGCATGTCTGCTGCTGTCCCATACAACACACTTCTATTGTGTTGAGTGAATCACGGCTCCTCCAGCAAACCTTGCACTTCATAATGCTTTCATTTTCCCAGAACACATTCCTCTTTACCTGAGAAATGACTGGTTATCTTTCAAGATCTGGCAATAACATCAACCCTCCTCACAGTAACTGGCCCTGACTTCCAGATTACTGATAAAGACAGTGGATCGTGCCCATACTTGATCCAAGTTGCTCTGGCAACTTTAGCCACATTGTGTTGAAGTTGTTTCCCTTCCCATTAATCTGTGTTCTTTAAGAGCTCAGACCATGCACCACTTGACCTCCTTTGGATCTGGCCTAGTCCTTAGAATTAAGGAAGTGACGGTGGTATAATGCATTGTTTATTAGAGAATTGTAATTTTAGGCAAAATTGTAAAATCACAAAGATTGGGTACCTTTGATGTCTTTATATCTCACAACAGCATACATCAACATACATCAGGGATGTAAGTAGTCAAAAGCTCCATCTCCATATTCCTGTTCTTAAGCTGTAAGGAATGCTTTTACACTAAATCATCAGAAATCCCTTGAGTGACAAGATTCTTATAATCCGGCTACCTCTGTTCTTTTCATTTCTTCCCTGCAGCATTAACACTGTTCATTGGCAAATTAAACAAGCATTCTACCACTGAGCTGTATCACCAGCCTGTCTCATTTTTACCATAATCATAAAACAACACTCAAGGTTGCAACATATTCAGGAGTCAGTTGCTGACACTGATCTGGTTCCCATCTCAGAAAGGTAATTTTTCATTCAAATCTGCAATTGGGTTATACTTGTTTTTGTTTTGAGATGGGATTTCATATATCCCAGGTTGGCTTCAAACCTGTTACATAGCCAAGGGTGACCTTAAATTTTATATGACTTACTTGCATCATCATGTCTGGTTTATGTGATGGTGTTCTGGATTGAACCCAAATTGCTCCAACTGTAAAACCTCCTTAAAAATCCCCGAATCAGCATTTACTCAATAGCAACCTCTTTCAAAGTACTAGTTGAAAAATTAAATAGGAACATGAAGAAATAATGCGCAAAAGTCCAAGAATTCAGCCACCAATCACAAGATCATACAGTCATTCTTCTCCACCACCTCCTGATCCAGAGATACGTGTAAACCTCATCCCCATGGGTTGATTTGTTAATGAGTATCTTACCTGTACCTGTGCAACTGTCGAGCCCTCTTATACTAGGAGCAGTGTGATTATCTAACTTGAACACAAATTCTGAGGACTAGAAATCGGAATTATTGGACTGCTTGTGTTGATACACTTGGAGAGAATTTTTAATCTATTGAGTTGACCAGGTACATGCCCAGAGGCTGTACATCTTCACCTCGGAAACCAATGCTGTTAGGAACACTTGCCCAAACACTATCTGTGGAATTACAAGTACATAATTAATACTGAGTATCTATACAATATTGCATGATAGTGTATAGCTTAAAGTAGTTACACACTAAAATGAAATAGATATGTCATGAATTAGAATACAAAGCGTACAAAAATTTTAAGATGTATATGAAATTTAAAACGAAAAACACATTGCCTCTAGACTTAGTTATGCTCCTAAATTTCTGGGGTTTTAGTGGAGAAAAAAAAGAAGGTTTTGTCTTTGGAACTCAATTATTTTAAGGTGGGGATTTATTCATTCTTTCCCTCTCTCTCTCTCTCTCTCTCTCTCTCTCTCTCTCTCTTACACACACACACACACACACACACACACACACACACACACCCTTCTGCCTTCTCGTTGGTACAAATCTGCAGTCACCATCCTTAAATACAGAAACCGTTATACCTTTTATATTCCCTTATATTTGAAAATGAGGTTAACCTTGACAATATCTTTTTTTAAAATTTTGAGACAAACATTTTTCTTTCTCCACTATTAGATCTAAATCTGTATGTACCTCAGAGACACAGTCTAAACCCTTATGCACATAAAGCAGACCTTCACAATAAAATGACAGTCACAAAGAGCGCAGGTGCATCAGGCGCTAGGAATAGTGATGGCAAACAACCGTGGTTATTTCTATGATGCAAATACACTGAAAGAGCAAAGGCTAGAAAGTTCTGGAAAATAATAGAACAAGTAAATAGAAGAGCTAAGCTTTGATCCGGATCTAACTAAAGCTTACTCTCTATGCATGACCTTTGTTGAACAGCCACTTTGGTGCGGGAGAATTATCTGTATTCTGTCAATCATATTTTAATAAAA